CCCCAGGCCCCGCCGCCGGCCGGGACCCCGACTACAGCCATGAGCAGACGCTCGCGCCTCTCCGGTGTCGCCTCCTTTTGTAGTCAGAAAGAAGGGAGAGGACTTTTTGAAATCAACAACCACAACAGAAACCCAATTTTTCTTCACCTCAGGTGTCAAAGTAAATTTGTAAAAAACAAAAGAAAACAAAAACATTTCAGAAATTACCATCCACAAATTGCACAACGGACATGCCCACGAAGGTGAGATCCAGCGGTGTTGAGCCCCCTTTCTCAGGGATGGACATGTTCCACAAGGTCAGCGAGGACACCCCTCCCTGCCGCCTTACTTTGTACATAGATTTGCACTTGGAGTTGTGTGTTGGGTTCACACACACTGGGGACACGGCCACCAGCCAGCGCAGATGGTGCCCAGTGCCTGGCCTGTGGGTCAGTCCATCATCAGGCCTTTCTGAGTGGACGTGGTCACTGACATTTGTGCTTCCAGGGCAGATTCCTAAGGTGCCCTGCGCGCCGCCCCCCTGCCGACACACCCACCGCCAGCCTCCGCCCTGGTGCGTGCTTGGCTCAGGACCAGACGCTTCAGAGGGCCGCCTTACGCCAGCAGAGCTGGGCAGAGGGGCACCCCCCTCCCCGGGAGAGGCGGGAGGCCGCCATCTCCCTCTCCTGCCGCCAGGCGCCTCTCCCGCGGCCTCTTGCAGCAGCTGGGGGCAGAGAAGCCAGCCTGGACCGGGCAGACCCCTCGTCCGGTGTGACGGGCCACCTCCCGCCAGCCCTCAGCCTGCGGGGGCGGGAGCCGCGCCCTGCCCAGGGCCGTCTGCTCCTGCGTGTCCCTCTGGCAGGCATCCAGGGGCCCTTCACTACTGCCCCAGCTCTCTTACTGGAACACAGAGCCTGGAATTCTGGTCCTCGGCAGGAGCGTCACCGAGTGGCCAGGGTGTGCCTAGCCCCGCCGCCATTCCCCCAGGCTCACCCCGCCCTCACTTAGACACTGTTGCTGGAGGAGGTGGGTGAAATTGTCGGGTTGCCTTGCCAGAGGCGCTGCGTGTGGCCATGTGTGTGGCACTGGGGCACTTCCCAGATGCTCTTCGGCGGCAAGAGACTGGAACCTGGTGACTTGGAACTTTTGGGTGCAGTGAATCGGATGTCATGAGAATTGCTGTCAGGGAACATGTATTCTGCTTCCTCCCCGGGGAATGCCAGACAGAAAGTTGGGGACACGCTTCCCTCAGCCCCATCATGTCCCCAGCACGAGGTGACTGGCCCTGGCTTCTCTGAGGACTTTGCATCCCCAGGACTCCTCCTTTTCCCTCCTGCGTCTCCCCTCCCACCTGGGGGTGGGGGGGGCCCCAGCCTAGCCCTGCCTGCAGCACATCAGGGTTGCCCACCTGCCACCAGCCTTCTGCTAAGAGAAGAGGGCAGAGAGCTGGGGCAGTTTCTCCCAGAGCCCCCGGGGCTCCAGCAAGCTCTTCTGCAGACAGGCAGGTGTCCGCCCCAGCCCTGCTGTCTGGGCATTGCCCGTCCCTTCCTCCCCTTCCCCGAGAGTTGGGGCTTGTAAATACACGCCTCAGGACAGTAGTGTGTATGTGCGCGCAGGTGTGTGTGAGTGTGTGTGTGTGTGTTTGTGTGTTGGGGCAGGGGTGTGGGTTGGGGGGGGCAGACTTGGGGTATCTTGCAGAGACCTCTGCTCGTTTTGATGAAGAAAAATGACCCTTGGGACCTCAGAGGGCCACAGACGGGCTTCCTGGGCCCAGAGTGCCTTGGTTGTGGCTATCTACTCCCCGCACCCTCCCGTGTTGTGGGGTGCAGCACAAAGAGACCCCGGAGACCAAGGTCTGGCAGGTGCCCATCGCCCCTGGCCACTGCTTTGGGCCACTCCGGAATGGACGGGCGCCCTGTCCACAGCGACCCCCGGGGCGCCTGCCACCTGCAGCCCCCCGGTGCCGGAGCCATCTCTCCCCAGCATGGTGGCTGGAGCCAGCCGGCGGTGTGGCAGCGTCTGCGTGGCCTGAGACCCCAGGCGGGGCCAATCTGGAGTTCCTGCTGTGGCCGGACAGGAACGGAGCGGGACAGGGGACTAGCGGGCAGGTGTCGGCCAGCGCCTCGCTCCCGCTCCCGAGCTCCCTTCGGGCTGCCTGAGGGCCCTGCTTACCTTTGGTAAAGACCTTGACGGGAGTGTGCCCTGGGCACTTGGGGTGAAAGCTCTTCACTTCCAGTTCCAAAGTGAGGTCCGAATGGGCCCTCGGAGGCCCCTCCCAAAGTTGTTTCTGTGTGAGGCTGACAAGCCACACTGAATACATTTCACGTCTCAGGAACTCACATTCCAGGTTCAGGAATTTTATTCCAAAGTCCTTTTGGTGCGCTCAGCTCACCGCCTGCGGGGTCCTGGAGGCAGAGGGAGCTGCGAGCCTGGGAGCCCACAAGGTGTCCCCCCAGCTCCCCCCGCCAGGAGGAGCCAGGTGTCTCCTGTGATCTGCCGGCTGGTGGCATCTCTGAAGGGGGCTTCTGGCCTGCAGCTGTCTGCCATAGACAGGCAAAAGGACTCTAAACCCAGACATCTTGGAATAAAAGAAGAGCTGGTTTGTTTTAGAGGTGGGGTGGGGGTGGGGAAGGGGAGGGAAGGCGGGCGTTGGCTGTTTCCAAAGAGAGCACTTAATTTAATTTTTCTTCTAAATGACCCAGGGCTGTTCCGTCTGATTGATGGAAGGGTAACATTGCCTTAAAACAGAAATACTGCAGGTGTTGGCTATTTTTGGCAAAAGAGCATGTCTTCATTCCCAAGTGGCCCTGGTTGATGACAGGGTGTGGCCCTCCAATGAGTGAGGCCTGGGAGACAGGCACTGCTCTTCCGACTTAGGGCACCAGGAGGGAACTCCTGCCAGGCCCCCGGGCACTGGGCCTGGGGCTCCAGCCAGCCACGGTGGATTGTCCCGACTCAGCTGGGGCTAAAATTCATCTCACTTGAAGGGTGGGAAAAATCCATGAATCTCAGGCTAGGTTCAGATGGGCTCTTGCCAGCCTGTCATCATGAAATGTAGAGTGTGCCTAGGAGGGTGGTGGCCGGGGAGAGCCGCCCCAACTCATGCCCCTGCTGACAGCGGCTGCACAGGCTTCCCGAGACAGCCTGTGTTTGCTGCTGAGATGTAGAATGTCTCCCCAGCCTGGGCCTTCTTCAGGGTCTTTAATTTTCTGCTTCATGGCCATGCTTGCTACCTTCAGTGTGACTGAGAAGCCCAGAGACGCCTAGGGGTAGTCGCGGAAGCTCATACCTTTGTTTTGTGGCAGACTTCAGTTCTGGCAGGCCAAGGGGCACCAGAGGGCTCAGCGCAGAGGTTGCCTAAGCAAGGGGAGAGGCTTCTCCCAAAAGGCCTGCAGATGGCCTGGACTCCGCCGTCGGGGGCTGGTGGTTCAGCTCACTTTCCCAAAGGCCATCTTTGCATTAGCCATATCAGGGGGGTGCTCGTCAGCTCCCCCATGCCTGTGGGGGCCTGCAGCCACCGGCAAGACCACCGGACAGAGCCCCTTCCACAGAGGGCCCCGGGTCTTCTGCTGGGTGCTACATAGGAATGGGCAGTGGTGCTCTTAAGGCAGGGCACGTGGACTTGGAGGTGCACACCCTGCATCCGGCCACCCCCTACCCACTGCACTGGAGGTGCACAGTCCCCACCTTTGTTCCAGGCATGCGTTGGAGCAGGTGCTGGCTCTGGGTGCAAACATTGGTGGCACTGGAGCGCCCAGCCTCACCCTGTCATGACTCACACTCGGCTCCGTGAGGGGTGATTCAGAGGTGGGGACGCACGGGGGTGGGGGGCACAGGCTGCCCTGCCCACCCCCCACTGGTGGTTTGGAGTGTGCAGAGAGCCCGTGGCTCTCTGTGGTCCCCAGCGAGACATGGCGGAAGCGGCCTCCAGGTCTCCTGCCGCTGCGCCCAGTGTGTCCAGGAGACGCAGCAGCGCGTTCTTGCCAGAGCAGGTGCTAAGACCGCGCACAGCACTGCCAGCTGCGGCTTGACCCGGCGGAGCCGGCGCCACCTCACGGGAACCGCGGCCGAGCCGGCGTGTGTCCTTCCTCTCAACCCCCGGCCTGGGCTGCATTTACGAGACTACCTGATTAATACTACGACTTCTGACGAGTGTCACTGACTCCCCCAGCCCCCATCCCTCCCCTTAAAGTCATCAGTCCCGGGCGCAGATGCAGGTTTCCGGGTCTGAGCACTGGCCACAGGACAACCAAGAGGAAATGCTTGTAGGTCACCCCATCGTTTGCTGTCCAAAGATTCCACATATGATTCTCATGACCATATTTTCCAAAGCTAAAATCAAGACTGTGGGCGGACACTTGTGAATTCAGGATCGCCTGGGAAGAAGCAGGCCTGTGGCTGGCGTTCCTGATGCTGAGCCTGGGTCCCAGCTTTGCCCTCACACATTCCAGAAGGTTTTGTGCTAGCACTGGGGTGCACAGTCCAGCTTACTACTGATAGATGCCCGAACACCGTTTAGGGAGAGGCCCCTTCCCGCCGGCCATCTCGTCAGGAAGAGTCGGCTTCGGCAGGAGGCGGGAGCCCCGGTCCCGCGGGGTGAGGGGCCCCACGTGCTTTCTCCAGACCCCTGTGGCGACACAGCCTGGCAGTGCAGCTGGCCTCTCCCCTTCTCACACAGCTTTAAAACCTTAACTGCTTTTATCTGAAGATGAACCAGATGGGAGAGGACAGCGTCCCCCGCCCTGCGCGTCACACTTTCCCGTGGGGGCGCGCCTGCAGCCTGCTCCCGGGGCCCAGGGGGCTTCCTGTGGCCACATCCTTTGGGACGCCGAGTACATGAGCTGGAGGCCCGCCCGCCTAGCCCGGGCCTGGCTGCAGGCGGTCCCTCTCGCTCTGGGCCCGGGGCTGGTCCAGGCACGTTGCAGGGGCGGGGTGGTGAGGTCAGGGTGGCCATTCCCAGGTCAGCGTGTCTCTCTGCGCATGCGGGTAGGAGATGCAGCTCCCTTGGACTCATCCCGGGGGGTCTCCAGGAGCCAAGTGCCGGGTACCCCAAGGGCTTGATGTGCCAGCGTGAGACCCCTGAGCCGCTGCGTGCTGCCAGCCGAGGTACTTGCGTGGCTCCCACATACCCGGGAACAGCTTGTGGGGGTGTGCTGAGTACACGCTTGGCTCCAGACCCACACCCGTGAGCCCCTCTCTGTGCAAAGCCCTTGATGGGGCTTCCCTGGAAGTGCTTGCCAAACCCTAAGGCGGAACCCAAGGGTCCAAGACCATTTCCATCGAGCACCTGTTTTCCTTTCCGGTAGGACCTTTACTTTCTAACCAGCACCACGCCATGCTTCGGAAGGCCACGGTTCATCCTTCCCGGATCACTACAGTGAAGTATTACCGTTGTACAGCTCCCAACTGGCCTTGGCTTGCTCGGATAAACTTTGTATGTATTTTGTATGGCATAGATTCTATATTGTAATGATGTCCTATGCAAAAAAGAAAAAAAAATTAACTAAATTGTAAATTTTATTGTTTTAACGTGTATGCATGTTTAGTGATGTTTACATTTTGAAATAAAATCTATGATTCATTATTTGCTACAGCTGGTTCCTTTGACAGGCGTACCTTGGAGTTGTTCTGGGGCGGGCAGGGGAGTCAACACGGACCAACCCAGGCAGTCGTAAGAAATTGACCGCGGGCAGGAGCTGGCCTGCAGCTTTGCAGCCCTGACCCAGGAAGGGTAGGGGTCCTTCTGGCTGTGCCCTGCCACCCGCCCCCGCCTATTTCAGCTCATCACATGCCCAGCCCTCAGTTCACGCCCTCCTCCACCCACCTCTTAAAAAAAAAAAAAAAGACCTCATCCCAGTTTCACCCCCAAGAGCATGAAGAAGAAAGGTGGATTCTGAGGGAAATGGTGATGGCAGAGACCTGCCCCCCAAAAAGAGCCCCAGTCAGCCTGAGGTTCAGTGGACGGAAGCCTGCCCCCTCAGCCCTCGTCCCAGGGTCCAGACAAACCCCTGTTGGCTGTCACTGAACCCCCAAGGCCAGCCGTGGGAATTGACCCAAAGTGCACGGGTCTCGGGCCCACCCAGCACAAGGGGGCATAGATGGGGGCCCTGAGAATCTGTGCGGTTACCAGCGCCCACCTAAGCCTCCTGTGACCATTAACCACCGGTGCCGTGTGCCCCCATCTCCTCCAAGGGGGGCTTTGTCCACAAAGGAGAAAAACCACACCTGGCACAAAAGAGGGGGAGGAGTGTGTTGGGGGGACTGGCCCATGACAGGTGCCCGCTGCAGAGCGTGCAGGGAGGTGCAGGGGAGGCCCCCAGCAAGGGGCAGACACAGGGTGCAAGTGGGACTGTACGTGTTAGCACCTATGGCTCCCCAGTACAGGGAAACCACAAAGAAATGTCACTGGTTAATCTCAACGGAAGGCATTGCAACTGATCAAAGGTGTTTTCCTGAAGCTACAGTGACAGGCACTTGCTGATAAAGTTCCTTGTCTGTGTTGTAGACTGGGGGTGGGGTGGAGGGACACCCTTGGGCACTTACTGAGCTGTCCCCAAACAGCGCACTGGCAAGCACAGCTCTCTCTGGTGCTGAGAAAGCAGAGCAGGTCCGGGTTGGAGCACTTCCCCAGCGCAGCCTTCCTCTGCCGCTCAGAGACAATCAGTTTTGCTCGGGAACTCCCCAGACAGCAGCAAGGCAGGATGGATCCGCTTCCATAAATAGCTGTGTGTGGAGAGGAGCCCACACGCTTTCAAAATATTGACAGGGAAGAAAAAAGTGGTGACGTCACCCCTGAGGGTGAAAGGGGGGGTGGGATCCTGCCCGGCTTCCTTTCAAAAACACGGGCCAGGTGTTCAGGGAGGCGGCGAGGGGTCTCTGGAGCCACCAGAGGCCCCAGTGACACGGGAGGAAGAAAATGCTCGCACAGACCTTTCCTGGTGTTTGAAAACACCGCCGGGGCGAATCCAACATGGTGCCTTCACTGGGACTGAGCATTTCTTCACCGGTGTGATTAGGTGTCTTCCTTCTGTT